TCCCTTTTTCTTTCCCTTTTGGGGGTGAGAGGGATTAACAGAGAGTGTCTATTACAGGTCTGGGGGTGGGCCTGATCCTAAACTATGACACAATGTCAATCAAGTCAGTAAGGTCTCCTGAATCACAGCTGTGGACTGCAACTGCTGCAAAATCGTCAACTGTTTTCCATAAAAAGTTTTCCATAAAGAAGGAAACGGAAGTAAAAATAGAGGAGCTTCCTTATCCTGAGACACACACCAGTGGAGACGTTCTCAGTCTAGCAGTGAAAGAAGCACCTAGCACCCCTGAAACCCTCATGTCAAAGAAAGTAAATGCTGACTTCAGTGTGGGAGCCAGCAACCAGCAAGTATGCATTGCTTTATCTGGAAAGCCACTAACACACCAGCAATAACAAAAGGTTTATAAACCTATGTCAGATGCTGGAAGCACAAAACGAGCACAGATCACAAAGCTAGACACTGCAGACAAAGAAGTGGTGCCAGGGCAGTCAGAGGGGCCGGGTGAAGACTCGGTGGTGTGTGTACTAGACGCCGGGACAAGGAATGCGGAATGCAGCGGGGGCTGCTTGCCCCATTTCCTCACCTGCCTCACAATGGCAGTGGTCTGCTCCCTGCAGAGGCAGCTGCAGATAAGGGAGTTTTGTGCTCATTACATGGAACAATTGTCTGCCCACAGCCCCATCCCCACGCTTTACATATCAGTAACAAAAAAAAGGTGTAAATGTCACCCCTTTTGGAGCCAGTGTGTGGGACATTGGGCACCGGCTCCGAGGGGGTGACGGACGGGTCTGTTCTCCTCACCCCCCAGCAGGACGGACGGGTCTGTTCTCCTCACCCCCCAGCAGGGACACCCCTGGGGAAGATTTGCCGCCTCGGCTCCGCCAGGTGATTTTCCCCAGGAGATTATTATTGTTATTGTAATTGCAATTGCATTTTGGACTATATGGCTACTCTGCAGCTTAATGTATTTATCACCGGCAATCACAAAGAATCTGTATGTTGGGTGTCACTAACCCGTGCTGTTTGTGCCTCCAATGGCTTCTGTCCCCAGCCCCTCTAATATCTGAGGACCAGCTAAAAAGCAAGGGGATTTGTCTCATACCAGATTTGTCTCTCCCTTACCCATACCTACCCCCTTCCCTTCACACAACAACCTTGCAACTGCAGATAGTTCAATGAAAAGCTACAAATATTGCTTGAACCTGCAGAATAAAATAATCATTACTTCAGGTTGTCCCATGTAACTTGCTGAAAACCACGACAGACCACGGATCCCAGATGCAGAAGTTGTCCCTTTTACAAGACACCACAGACATCTACACATCAGTCAGCATTGCCATTTTACTACACCCATTCCCATGGCTTTGTTTTCTTCCTCTTACTTTCTTTACCTATTCCTTGGAGCCTGAGAGTAATTAACTGAAATTAACTACAAGTGTTCTCCGTTAGAATTTGTTTTCCAGTAAGTTTGAACAAAGCACACCAGGTAAGGTGGACTCCCTGAAGAACATACGATGAAAACAGTCAGACATAATCACCACAGTAGATGAATATTTCTGCATTTTTATTCTCACAGTTTGAAGTGTGATGTTAGAACTTCCATTTCCTATAAATCTGGTTGCCTTTGCTTCATTTTCCTCATCACCAGGTTCAGAATGGCAGTCCCACCCCTGGGCCCCCTAAATAAGTGCATCTTTATTCTTGAACAAAGCCTGGTTTCTGTGACATTAGCTGTGGCAAGCAGAAAAGGTCAACTGCCCTCACTTGCTTAACAAAGGAGTAAAGATATTAAGGCTAACAGTGAGGATGGTTTTGGTTGTTTTTAGATTAAATCTCATCTATGAACTGCAAAGCTGATTTATAAATGTCCAAACTAAACAAGAAGCAGAGGTAATCAACCTTGTTCTCCTTGTTCTTTCTGAAGCCAGATATGTAGGTTGTTTGGATATCAGATTTTTTTCCTTTTTCCAACTTTTAAGTAGAGTCAGGACAGTCCTACATTTTATCCAGCAGAAACTAAAGATGGAGACATTAGTATTCTGTGGATTCATTTAGCAAGTACAAACTATGGGCTCCGGTCGTTCACTTAAAAAGTGCTTTGTTGCCAAGTTGCAACAGATTCATGGCTAGCTTTGATTGACAGTGATGCTGCACATGAACAGTTTCTGATATGATAAATACCACTGCTCACTGGAAAACAAAGTGATCTACTTCAAAAGGTATCTGACCTGTGGAATTTAGGAAAAACTGGAAAACCCAAACAAGGCACACTGAAGCTTGTGGGATTATTCACGTACTTCAATTTAGGCAAGTACTAATGGGAGCTGCAGTTTCCACATGTATCCTAATAAGAACACTTATAAGATCTTGACCCTTGTTCAATACAAGCTCGAAACATCTTATAAGAATATCCTGTAGCCATTCACAGCCCATATTCTCTCCATATTCTTAGACAATCGATCTTCAGACTATGCTTCAAGGGGATTATTAAATCACCTACAGTGAATTTCAGTGTTCTTTGCTGACTTGAACTCTCTTCAAACTAAAAACCCTTCAGACTATATTTTATATTCTGGAGTTTATGGTCACTGTCTTTTAAATCTTTCTGAAAAACTAGAAGATACTGCAGTGCAACCTCCCCCCACATTACAAAATCACAGAATGCTAGGGGTTGGAAAGAACCTCTGGAGATCACTTAGTTATCTTTCTTTACTTCCCCCACTAACTAGTGGAATTAAATATTCCTTATTTCAGGTAGAATTCCTTTTTACTACCTTATCAGTTATAACTTATGTTGAAGCTTCAGCCCTTCTGACTTTATACACTCATGCTATTCTTTTTTACTTGCTTTGAGCCAGAAAGTTTTATTCTCACATTTTAGATGATTCCCCATCCAGTTCTGAATCTGTTACTGGGGCATTGTTCCCTGCTGTTTTTTCTCTGCCTTTGAGTTTTTAATGCATTTTTTTCAGTCACAGTCAATGTTTTGACCAATTTTACCCAACAGATGAGCAGTTCTCCTTTCTTTTCTGGTTGCAGTTCCCCTTGCACGGGTGTAAATTTCTGAATACTAAAATAAATAAATTTATTTTCTTTCAGGGTTGTAACTTCATTTGCCACAATTTCGATGTGTTACACCTTCTTGTGGAGTTCCCCCATTAGTCTAGGTCCCGTAGAGAATCCCCTGTCCTGGTCTCTGTGTGCAGAAGGCTGCTCTTTGAACACCATGGTTACCATTTGGCTTCCCTCTTCCTTCCTGACCTTAGAATAAAACACCATCACTTTTTGATTATTATTATACAGATCACTCAAAAAAAAAAAAAAAAAAAAAAAAAAAAAAAAAAAAAAAAAAAAGATATTTTATTCCAACACAGAAACAGTAATTTTATTGGAAATAATTAACAGAACTGCAAGAATTTTCAACTCAGTGCTGCACTATGTATATTGTTATTACAAAACAGCTCCAAATTGAAAGTCCTACAACTGTAGCAGCTTGAAAGCTGTTTAACAGAATGTCACAAATAGCATTCTGTTTTTCTTACATACCTTGTGCTAGCAATGCTCTCCATATGTGGCAAACCTGTTAGCTTGAAACAGGAAGCAGTAAACAAACTGTAGAAAATGAACCTTGTAAGTACAGCAGTCTTTATTTGCCATTGGCAGCCAAAGAGAGTGGCTTTTTCATTTATCAGTAGGCTGACTTGGAGCTTTGCTATCGTCCTCCTTCAATTCATCTACCTCTTCCTGTAATTCATCCTCCAGCTCACAGTCTGAGACTGATTCAGTGTTATCATCCCAGTAATCAGCTTCATATCTGTCCAGTAAGTATTTCTGTGGTGTAATGTCATCATCAGGAGGATTACTTCTTTTTTTCTTTTTCATTTTCTTCTGAATCTTAGAAAGCTGCTGCTCCTGTTCTTCTGTCCAGGCAATGCTTTCTATGTCTCTTGACACTTTCAATCTTTTGTATTCCATTATCTGCTTATTCAGCAGTTCATGGTCAATACCAAAAAGGTTAGACTGCATGGGTGAATCTGAAGACTGAGCTGGTGAAGACAGCAGTTTGCTGTGGAAAGGAAAACAAATGTTGTAGGTTTTTTCCCCATGTATATTTTAAGAGGAAATGCTAATTGTGACAACTTGAGCAACACAGAAATAAACTGGAGTTTCCAGTTTGACTTCAATAATGCATTGTGTTCACCACTTTGTCCCTACGTTAAAAAGGAAGAGCTACCACCATACTATGTGTCCAAGGACAGGCTGTTTATAAACCTGCCATCATGTCAACAGATTTAATAGGACAAAGCCAATAAAGCAACTATATTCCAGATGAATGCTTGTGCAGCACAGAAAGCCAGCTGTGCCCTGGGCTGCATCAAAAGAAGCATGACCAGCAGGTTGAGGGATGTGATTCTCCTCACCTACTCCAGTCGTGAGATCCCACCTGGATGCTGCACCAAGCTCAGGGGCCCCCAACACAAGAAAGACATGGACCTGTTTGGGCTGGTCCAGAGGAGGGCTGTAAAGATAATCAAAGTCCTGGAACATCTCTCCTGTGAATACAGGCTGAGAGATTTGGGACTGTCCAGCCTGGAGAAGAGAAGACTCTGGGACTCACTGCAGCCTTCCAGTGCCTGAAATGGGCCTACAAGAAAGCTGGAGAGAGACTTTTTACATGGGCCTTTTGTGACAGGACAAGGGGTAATGGCTTTGAACCTAAAAAGGGTAGATTAAGATTAGATGTAAGGAAGAAGCTCCTCACTGTGAGGGTGGTGATCAATGAACAGGTTGCCCAGAAAGGCTGTGGATGCCCCATCCCTGGAAGTGTTCCAGGTCAGGTTAGATGGGCCTTTCAGTAACCTGGTCGAGGTGAAGGTGCCCTTGCTCATGGCAGGGGGGTTAGAACTAGATGATCTTTAAGGAGGTCACTGGACCTGGGAGCCCCAAGGAAATTAAGACTTCTCCCAGCTCTTTCAGGAAGTGAGAAGCAGCAGCCTATACCCATAAGACATCAGACAGACCTATGAATGGCAGCATATGGCACCTTAAGCTGGACTTAAATATTTCCACGGGACATAAACAGAGGAAGATACTAGGTGCCCTGTGGGAATCTCTGGCACAACAAGCATTTCCCCCAATTAGCTAGTTCTGATTTGTGCCTGGTGAGACATTAAGGCAGAAGCAGCATTTCTACCAACAGGCTGCAGTACACAAGCGCATGGCTGCTGGCTTGGAGTGAATCAGGTCCACAGAATCATTATTGCATTAGATTGTTCAGCCCTATCCCTCAATAGCCAAAGAAGAACCCTAGATTAACTTGTGTTTTGTTAACTTAGGGATATTTATTACTAAACTTGTAACTCATGCATAACAAATCAAACTTATACCAGAAAAGAAGCAGACAAGTAGAGGAGTGCTGGTAAATGTAGATCTTTTAAACTCATGATAAAATTACCAGCAGGAAACAAATATTACTGCTGCAAAACATGGTGTTTTCTAAAAAAATTTAATTATCAGAACCACATTGAGTCTTGAATTATTAAAAATTCTAAAAATACTTCCCCCATAAAAGTAAAGATACCAAGACCAGAAACAAGTATTGACTCTGCAAGAAAAAAGTCTGATGACCATGTCACTCAGAGCACAGACATCAAACACAGCTGATCTCCAAGACTCTGTTCCAGTATCACCTTATGGATAAGTTGCCTCTGAAAGCACATGAACTATGCTGTTACAAGTGGCAATTTAGTCATTCCCCACAGCTTAATAAGAGGTCTATCTGTATATAAAAAACAGACTTTCTCTTTTCATAGTTGTAAATCTGTGGTCTGCAGCAAGGTACCTGTGCACAAGAACCAACAACAAAATAGCCTGTGAAAATGTGTCTGTGCTAAAACACAACAGTAAACCAGAGCATATATAATAAATATTTTCCCTTAATTTTAATAAATAGATGTAGCTTTTGTAAAGAAAGCTCAAGTCACAAAATAAAAAGCCATCCTCTGCATTTAAATTCTGGGATGATTACATCCTAGTTTTGTGGTAGGCTGTTCTGTAGCGTCTTCTGCTAATAAAAGGCCCCCGCTGATGTCTTTAAAAGCTGAGATACCTTTTTGGTAAGGACTTCCATAAAATCTCTCTCTTCTACTTTCTATTTCTTCATAACACCATTTGCTGAACTCTGAGATAGCAACAATGTACCTATCTAACAAAAGTATACTTTCTGTTATGTCAAGTAATACCCAACTTAAGCTGGCCAACAGAGATGAAAATGGACACTTGTACAATTCTGATTAAAAAAACCCACCTAGAATCATTTTGATCTAAGGTTTCTTCTTCTTCTGGAGGTCCAAAATCAGCAATTGATAATAATTTCTCAATCTGTAAACACATGAAGACAATACATATTAAAGGTCTTGTATTAAATTAATTTTGTTCATCCCTACACAAGAAACAGACAAGTAACTAAAAGCAAATATTTTATTTTCTACATATTTGGAATACTTGGCAAAACCATTTCAAAACAGCCTTTCCCTCCATTTACAAGGAACTGCTTATACCTCTTGCCCGAGGAGTTTGTGACAAACAGCATAACTGCTGGATGAAAAGCTGGATATAAGCCATGCAGACTCTCAGCCCAGAAGCCAAACCATATCCCGGATTGGACCCAAAGAAGTGGCCAGCAGGTCGAGGGAGGTGACTCCCCCCATCTATTCCTCTCTGCTGAGACACCACCTGGAGTGCTGCACCCAGCTCTAGAGTACCCACCACAGGGACATGGACCTGTTGGAGCGGGTCCAGAGGAGAGCCAAAAAAAGTGATCAAAGGGCTGGAGCACCTCTCCTGTGAAGACAGGCTGAGAGCTGGGGTTGTTCAGCCTGGAGAAGAGAAAGCTCTGAGGAGACCTTGTAGCAACCTTCCAGTACCTAAAGTGGGCCTACAAGAAAGTTGGAGAGACGCTATTTACACGGGCCTGTTGTGACAGGACAAGGGGTAATGGCTTTAAACTAAAAGAGGGTAGATTCAGACTAGATAGAAGGATGAAGTTCTTCACAGTGAGGATGGTGAGGCACTTGAACAGGTTGCCTCGACAGGTGATAGGTGCCCCATCCCTGTAAACACTCAAGGCCAGGTTGGACAGGACTCTGAGCAACCCAGTCTAGATGAAGATGTCCCTGCTTACTGCAGGGGTGGCTGAATTAGATGACCTTAAAAGTCTCTTCCAACCCAAAAATTCTATGATTCTATGACCCAGGGATTGTTACAAAGTTTTTTTGCTTTATGTACATTCTGAACAGTTGGCTAGAGATAGTGTGACATATATAATTTTTGTTTTATTTGGTCTTATTTCAGTCTTGCAAATCCTTTTTTATTACCTCCTTGCACTGAGATTTTTTTCACTTCGACCCCCTTTTTGGAAGTGTGTATTTCTATTATGTAAATACTGAGCTCCTAACTCCCTTTTAACTTGGTGTGTAACCATTAAATGCTACAAATCTAGTATATTCACTTTTTATAGTCTGTACCCAATTGCAAAAATCTTATCTCATTTTAAATTTGTATTCCTACTTTTCTTTAAGTTACTTCCCTTCTAGTTGGGTGTATTATTGTAGGAGCTGAATTGGGTGGCCCTTCTACACCTTCCAAGACTTGAAAATTAGGTTCAGCTACATTATTTCTAAACCCTGTTATTTTAATCTGTGGGTTACATAAATCTGATGAGCTGCAAAGTGTGAAAAGCTGACCCACTGAAGTGCCTCCCAGCACCATCCACCGACAGAAGCTATACAAGTTGGGGTTGGGTTTGTTGTGTGGTTAACTTTCTTGGTGCCTATGAAATGAACTTGAAGGCAAGGTAGTCCAGGGGGGTTCTAGTCTTCACAAACAGTAAGTGGTCATTTAACAAAGTTTGAGAAATAGTGATTAATGAACAGGTGCCACAATAACAGACCTGTAAGGCAGGACCTGCAGGAGTGGATACTGCAGTTCCATCAAGGTATGTTAACAGAATAACAATAATGAAGTGCTGCTATAATCACTAGTCATGTAGGATTTCTTGTGTTGATTAGGGGGAGCATAATAACAAATATAAACAGCTTTTAGAAGAGCTTAGTTCATTTCTATTCCTGTGATTTTTGTTGATGCTAATGCAGGTGAAAAACATTTGCACTGTGGATCAATCTATTGGCATCAAACTCAGAATTCTTCTGACCACAGAAAGTTCAAGCAGTTCACTGGATTTCTAGAGTCTGAAGTTCTTGTTATCACTTTCAGCTCTGCTACTACACACTGTATGGGCCCATAAGTCATGAGCAGTAATTCACATCAACAGCTTGGGATGTTTTTAGGAAATTCCATTCCCTAGTGTCATCCTTCTCTTGAAGGACCTTCTCTGGAAATCTGTTGAAGAAATCTTACTTCACAATCCTAGTGACAGTAAATTCCTAGATAACAACAATATTCTAACAATATTTCAAGTAGTTAAAACTATCAACACCTTGACAGAAAATGCAAAATAATAACGATAATTTTTAAAGTTAAAAAAAAAAAAAAAGTAGTATGGGTGAGCTTACATCCCCTGTGCAAAGGAGGATGCTTTACTGCACTTCCCTACTAACATTTTAACAATTCACAGATGGAAAAAAGTTGGGGGGGAGGGAATTAAAAATCCCCAAGTAGATTCAATAGAATTTTAAAACAATAAAATATTTAAAATGTGGAAGACAGCTCCTCAGACCTCATTTCTATAATCATGTATACCAGGCAACAGAAAATTGCCTACCCTATATTATTCCATAAATCTGTAACTTTGTTTTTTAGGATTTCTTTATTGATTCTAATGATCTGGCCAACAAAAGTCTCTGAAACTTCACTTCAGAAATGTCAATAGTAACTCAAAAAAAAAGTTCAAGAAGTGATAGCTACAAGGATTCTTTTACATTGTATATAAGCATCAGTCTTACTCAAGATTCTTTGTTAAAATGCTTTGGAACTTGAAGAGGAAAGGGTATAGGCAAAGGCTTACTTTTCATGTAGCTTGGGAGAGCAACTGAATGATCAGCTCCTCTGTATTCCCAAGTATTATGGTATGCTGAGTCACCACATTTGCATATCATTATATTTGTACATTGAGTCAAAGATTACAATTACCTCTTTTACAGCTGCAGCTTCTTTGTCTTTTATAAACACTATTGGGGGTACATTTCCTAGAATCTGCTGACTCCTCAGAAGATACCTGTCAAAAAATACAGCATTAACCACACTGAGTAATACTCCAGCACCTCCAGGACAGCTAAAACATGCTTGCAGCATTACTGCAAATTTAAGGATATGGCTTGCAAAACTTAGGGATCCATTCATGCTAGTTCTAAGCAATACACCACTACAGAATCCCAAATCTGCATGTATGACACACAAAAACTAGCAGCTGCAGATCCCACTGAGCAGTGATGGTATTAGATTTGTCTCCTATATGCACAGGTTGGTGCAGGTCTTTCCACACTTCATTTGGCTTCCTTATCCCCACTGTAAGGGTGACAGCAGTGGGGGATAGTGAGAGCACAGCAGGGCAAGACAGCTAGTCCTAAATAGCAGCTGAAGAATGACTGACAGGGCTCCCCTCATCTTCTTCCCAGCCAGAAACATTCCTTCTCAAAGCATGGAAGCTGTTGGGAGCAGAAGAAAGCATTGTGCAGAAGCAGGAATTACATAGCCTACAGAAACAAGGAGAAAGAACCAGTCTCTACAAGTACACCCTACTGCCACCTTCCCTATGGGCTGTAGTCCTGACCCTCCAACAGACTGGCCAGATAGTAGAGAGTATGCCAAGGAAAGAGGGAAAGACAAAAGTCTCTATGATATCCTGAAAACTCACTGGATCCTCGGCCAAAAATGGGCAAAGGCATCACAATACACAGTAGCATGCTGACATTTTTTGGTATCAGAATGGTGAAGAATTTCTGTAATTCCTTTGGAACCTTCTGGAGGCCCAAATTGTCCCCAGAGAACAGAATTGCCCAGTGAATCCAGTAAGAAGGTACTTGTAATTGCCAGTCCTCTCGTGCAGCTTGATACCCCATGTACAGCATATCCAGCCCACCATCACTAGTGCAATGAAGTGAAACTTCATCCAGACTTTTTTTCTGCTCAGCCCAGTCCAATCCTAGGAGAGCACAGAAGGCAGGTGAGCCAGCAGGAGAACGCACAGCTGGTCTGACACAGCCAGCCTCCCCATGTGGCCATCACAGGAGACGCTCTGACTCCAAATATCTAAAACCCTAAGGGATCCTAACAGGTCAGAGACAGATGGTTAGAGGTACTTGATGGTACCAGCAGGCTTTGCATGCCTGAGGCAGTGCTGCTCCCCAGCAGTACCGTATGCGCGGCGCGCTCCTCCGCAGGACACTCTCAACGTAGCCCTCGTCCTCTGCGGTGGCAGCAGGGTTCCAGTACACACGACATGCTGAGAAGTTCGATGCCAGGGACACCTGCAAAAAGTCAAATATTTATTTACAGTTACACACACTCCATATATAATAAAGTCTCCAATTCATTAATAACAATACGGTGACTCAAAGTGGATTTGCAAATTCTTAGGAGAATCTCTTTTTCCATCTCAGTTCTTAAGAACCATATTTACATGGTGCCTTTATAGAGGCAGAGTTTAAAACTAAGTAACATTTACATTCAGTACAAGAAAGGGCTTTTTTTTTATTTAGGCAGGTCACTGCCTAATCTCCCCTTCAACTGAAATTAAGAGAGGAACAGTCTGTCAACATCCGGATGTTCCTGACAGTGCTACATTTAGTCAGTGAGGTGATGCTACCATCACAAGCAGTCCTGAATGACAATTTATGGCATGCTGGTTTGCAATACAGTTGAAAGTGCAAGTTTCCACTAAAGAACTTGTGACACTTCCTAGTTTGTTGTCACCCAGAATCTGGTTTTGATTTTGAGAGAAAAGAAGACACCCTCCATGCCACTGTGATGTAGGAGTCTCTCCATCTCTAAAGCCTGCTGGGAACCTCCAGTGCCTGACCCTCTAGCTCACTAACAGATAACATTCATAGCTGTCAAGCATGCAATTGAAGATGCACGGTGTCCAGGGGCTGAAGCACACAACAGATACTGACAATCTTCCTGCAGAATAAACTTCTGAAACACAAATTGGATTCTGAAAGATAATTGTAATTCATTGCATCTAGCAGTATCTTACAGAACAGGTTCTCACTATGAGAGTACACTCAGCAAACTTCTAATAACCTATCTGGCCCAGCTTAAGGAAGGAGTCAAGGAAGAAGGAGGAGAAAGCATAAACTATCCTTTTGAAGGCACAGAGGTCATCCAGTCTAGAGACAAACTCTCAAACAAACAGGTGCTTACATACATCATCAGGAAAAGACAGCTTTTGCAGGAGTAAAGTCTGCATCACAGTCTGCTGCTGACAGTGCTACTTTTTACCAGGGCATCATT